GGTGGATCTGGGATCTCAAAATCCTGCGAAAATGCACTGCATTGTAAGAGTATATTCTTGTGGGATTGTGAGCCAACAGTGTATTGTAACTTCTGTTTTTCCTTAAGCAATCCAAGGCATTCATGGATATAAAAATGGGATAAAACCTGAAAGTGGACAGTTCCATTTTAAAAAGAGGGTACACAATATATCAAAAGCTTGTGGACACTTGCCCTTCATACCTATATGGGCTTGTTGGACATTCTGTTCCAAAACTATGGCCATTAATAACACCTGAACTCAATCATTAGGTCTTGTTCACACCAAATGCAGATCCGGTCAGGTTTCTGCACACGCACGCTAGTCTTTTAGATGCGTTTTTGACGCTTTTTTTTTTTTAGTTTAACATGGGCTTTCAGTGTGTTCCAGGCATTTGCATGCGTTTTTTGATGCGTTTGCAGATCCAGACCAGGTAAAATAGGGCCTGCTGCAGTTTTTTTACCTGCTCTGGATCTGCACACAGCGATGTGAACTGGAGCTAAAAATACCATAGGAATACATTGGACGCAGTTTTGATCCGGTCTGCACCTGCTCCGCGCTTGGTGTGAACTAGCCCTTAGGAAGGGTGTCCATACTTTTGGGCATATAGTAGTTCTAATAAGTGTCTATAAATTTGTAGCCCTGTAGTGTCTATGGAGTCAGGTATTCGATGTAGGTATAGGTTAAACCTGCCTTTCCGTTCTGGCTCCTCACAACAGCCTAGCATCCTCCTTGTATCCCTGAGCGTGGAATTCATAGTGATTTCATCATCTTTGCAGGTGCGCCAATATAAAGTTTACATGCAAAACTATTCTGCGACTCATTTCCTCTCTCTCCCCCCTTCCTTTTGTTTGGCGCCTCTTCTTTAAGAAGCTCGCTGGTAATAACCTTAATAATTTTATTCGGATACGGGGAGCAGGAGCGGCGCATGGCTCCCGAAGGGGCGCCTAAGAACTTATTAAAACATTGCAAGTGTTTTTCCTTCTCGCTGTCTGTTCCAGCGGCAGCCTCCGAGCCTAAGGCTGAGCACGGCAACCCCCCAGGGCACATTAGCTTTAACTTGTTTACTGCACTGATATCTATATGTTAAACGACAGGAGAGTTCAGCTTATTGAATAATTTAAAATTCTGCTCTAATTGGTGTCGTATGACCTGGAAAAGGCCACGGATGACGCCCCGGGCACGCTGCAAAATGCTCATGAATAATTCACAGCCGAGATCATTCGTTGTATTTTTTTTTTTCCCCGGCGTGTCTTGTTGAAGGCAGAAGTTTGCACTCAATAAAGGATAATTCAACACCTGTAAGTCTTTAGTTGTGAAACTCCAAGGTAATCTACCTTGATGATCTTCCCGAGGAAGGCGCCAACTTGTTCTTCATAATGACACCGAGGAGATTGTCGGCCATTTATACAGAGCAGGCCGTTGGCATGCTTTGCTTTGCAGCTGTTAGGAGCAAAACTTGCATTCCCAGGCTCTGGCCTCCATAGGTTGATCTAAACGTGTCCCACAATATGGCTGCAGCAATGTCAAGGGTTAAAGATGAGCCTGGGCTTGGTGCGAGCCCAGTTCACTTGAGTTCACCCAGGCCCAGTTTAGGGCCGGTGCGCACCTGGGCGATACGTGACAACGCGACAATCGTGCACGATACAGCGCGGTCACAGTCGCCACAATAGGTTGGACTTGATGGACCTATGTCTTTATTCAACCTCAAATACTATGTAACACCTCAGTCGCTAAAAGAGCCGCGCGTCTTGTATCGCCAAAAAAAAAGGTACCTTTTTTTCCTGCGAATGTACCCCATTAAGACCCCGTTCACACCAGGGCGGTTTGGTCGCGCGGATTTGATGGCACTGAACCGCGAATATGAACAACCCCATACATTCCTGTGGGGACGGATCGCACGGCTGCAGGCGATCTGAACCGCCTACTGCCCAAAATGCTCCCTGAGCTATTTTTTCGTTCCATGTAGATTTCAACGGAAGCGCACTGATCAACGCTTTTTGGGGCGTTTTAATTGCGTTGCAGCGCTGAAACGCGATTAAAAACGCCCTTTTAAAATTTGTGCGGAAACTGCGCTGAAATGCATCCGCCCTGGTGTGAATGGGGCCTAAAATCAATGGGACTGCGTGGCAATTACGCACAACCCCCGGGACGCACGTCCCGGATTGCTCAGGTCTTCACCGGTCCTAAAACTGTGACTGCCACTCCACCCTGCCGGCCCAGTCAGTTGCGGCAGATGCAGCGGGGGTATTCCCTACCCCTTTGTGACCTATAGGTGCGAGGTGGGGAATGCGTTTCTCTGCAACGGATTGGGCCGGGTGAAGGGGGTGGCATTCAGTTTTGAGCAGGCTTGGGTGAACCGGGATGGAAGAGATTGTGTGATCTTGGCTGCTCTGTAGTAGTCGCCTGGAAAGTTTTGCGGCCTTGTCTAGCTGTTGGCGCTGTAGTTTTCTTTTCTGTGACTTAACGGATCTGTGCTTGCTTTCGCTGTGCTCGGCTGTACCATTCAATCTCTCATGTGTGCACACGTTGGCAGTCGGCTGTAGCGTCTGAAGCCAAGGACTGTGGTTGTGTTTTGCAAGTGGTCGGTGCCCAGTCACCGTGTCACGAAAATCGCAGGTTATGCATCTCTGCCCTACAGCAGAAGTTTTGAAAATGATTTGATGCCGAAATCCAGCCTGGGATAAATACCTAATAATAATCCACTTTTGTGTTCATTTAACCCCTTCATGACTGAGGCCTTTTTTCAATTTTTTTGCACCCATGTTATATTCCACATTTTAGGCCTGAAAATTACTTAAAACCCCCAAACATTATATATTTTCTGAATGCCAAGACCCTATACAATATAATGGTGGTAGTTGCAAATTCTTATGTTTGCGCAATATTAGCGCAACTCCTTTTATTAAACCCCAACATTTAGTGACAAATTTAAATGCCCCAGAACACAATAAAATACCCATTTTTTTAATGAATATAAAAGATGAGGTTACAACGAGTAAAACGATACCCAACATGCCCAGTTTACAAATTGCGTGCGTCCGTGAAACAGCAAATAACTGCAGTACCCCAAAAAGTCCATAGACGCTTTAAAAGCCCCCACAGGTCATCAATTTAGAGATACCCCAAAATACTGGCCCTAGAATTATTGCTCTCACTCCGGCGTGCGCGGCGATACCCAACATGTGTAGCGCGTTCGTCGTTTTCATACGTAGGCGCACCCGACGCGTGTTTACGTGGCGACGCGCATGCTCGCGGGGGACTTTAAAAAATTTTTTTACATTATTTTTAGATTTATTTTATTCAATTTTAATTTAAAAAACTGTTTTTTTTTTAAACTTTACTTTGACTGCTATCACATGGGGGGGGAGCGACGTACACTGTACGTCGTCAGTCACGAAGGGGTTAAAATTGATCTCCAGGTAAAGAAAAGGACTTACCTTTCAGTGGAGCTACCCCTGCACCTCAAGGGGCAAGTGCTCAGTCACACTAGATGCAGTGCGTTCCTGCCCGATTTTGGCCAGAACGCACTGCCTCGCATTGCGGCCGGCTCACTTTTTAGTGGGGCAGGAGGGGGTTGGGCGGGCCATTCAAGTGACTGGCGCCGTAGCCGCGCCCTCCGGCCGCAATGCGATCCGCCGCATGGGATCGCAAGGCACATTGTGCCTGCGTTCCAGCCCTGTCCGGTGCGATTAAAATAGTGCTTGCAGCATTTTGATCGCATCGCACAGGATCGGAAGTAAAAAATACAAATATTTAATAAACATTGAATTAAATCAAAATGAATATACAAAAATGTAAAAAGTTTATAAAAAATAATAAAATATTTTTTTGAAAAAATTTAAATAAAAAACATTTTCGGTCTGACAATTTTTTTTAATTTCGGTTTTGGAATTTCCATTTTGGTGCACCTCCTAGAAAACAAAACAATTTAATGCAGCTCTGTCATCATTAACACGGAATGAAATTTGATTTTTTATAAATGCCAGCAGTGTATTACCTGATTGTAATTTGGTATCAGCCTCTTATAGTCCTTGTACAGCAGAGCTTAGACTAGGGAAGGGAGGAGCAGCATGAGGAGCATGTCAGTTGTGCTCCTGTAGTAACAAGGAACATGCTGATAGGAGGGAGCAGAGTGGCAGGAGGGAGCAGAGTGGCAGAGATTAGATCATCAGTCTGCTGCTTCTTCTTTCACTGCCCAGACCTGTAAGCGTTACTTAACTGTAGTGAGAAAAGAAATCGGGTCGCCTGCCCTGCCAGAGATGTCTGTGCTGTGTGACAGAGATGTGTAAATCTCATGACTGGATAGACAGAAATACAAGTCCTTTGCAATGTGGGACAGTTGGCCTGGAGTTCAGCTTTAAAGGAGAACTATGAGGCCCCGTTCACACTGAGCGATTTATTGCGCGGTAATTCCCCACGATATCGCGGCTATTTACCGCGCGATATCGCTCTCCAATGCTTGGCAATGGGGCAAAGGGTCCTGCTGTCGCGGGTCGTGCGTCGCTACAGCAGGACCCTTTTTGGAGTGGATTTTGCCACTATTCTAGCTTGCTCAATGCAAGCATTTGCGCGATATCGCGCAAAATGCAAATCGCGCGATTTGCGAATTGGGCCTTAGGGGCGTGCTTTTCACTCACCTCATATTTCTACCCGACCTGTGACAATGAGACTGTCACAGGTCGGCTCATTAGATCGGGAGGTGAGCGAACACATACCGGCGTTTGCTCACCTCTCGATCCTGTCACGGCTCTCTGGCGTGACAGGGGAGTGACTAGATTCCCCCCTCCCCTCTCCAATCCTCCAGCGCTGACTGGCGAAACGGACGGGGGAGGGGGCGGGTACAGCTGGCTCTGCATTAACAATAACCAAATAACAAATCGTGCAAGTATATATTGTTTGGGGAAGTGCTGTTAGAGTTTGTTTTTTGCTTTTTTTTTTTTATTTTTAACCATTTATCTTTTTTTCTTTGTTCCTAAAAGGTGCCAAAAATTAACCGACAGCCAAAGGAAAAAGAACTGAATGGGTCTTACCTCGCTCCACGCAATAAACAGAGCAGCGAATTGGAAAGCTTGTGCTCCGTAGCGGCACACCCATGCTGTAGAACGGACCCCGCCTCTGGATGTGGTTTCCATTGCCACCCAGACGGGTACCCTTTGGACAGTTGCGCACGGAGGAAATGCTGCAGTTCCGATATCGCCGACTTACACTATCCGGACGTGACACACGGCCACCACTGCAGCAGTGCATTAGATCAGCCTCTGTCCCATTGCTGCTGGCACCGACCGGCACAGAGCGCCCGCGCGAGAGGTCCGACAGAATTGTCGCTTACAAGGCGTCCGGAAGATTCCTCCTTTTCCAGTCTCTCCGCCACGTCTGGCTTAAGCAATGGGGTTGTCGTACGTCCAAAGGAGTCGGCGGTGTCAGAGCAGAGGAAACACGAATTAATGTTGCAGAAGATGGAGCTTGAGGTGGAGAAAGAGCGGCTGCAGCAGCTACTGGAGCAACACGAAGCCAAACTGCTTGAGAAGCAGCAGGAACTACTGCAGACCAAGATGGAGCCTGAAAGGTGACATTTTACTGATCTCCTTGTCGTGTTCTGTCGGTTTACATGTGTACATATAGATTGCTGGTTGAGGAGTAGTGTGGTGAGTTTGGTCAACTGGTATGCAGTCCTAGAAAGTCATATTTGCTTGCCGTGATGGTTTCCAACAAAACTATAGCCCCCCATAATTCTGGGGAGCCTTGCGCTTAACCTCCTGCTGCCACGGGAGCGGGCAGGGAGCACACTGACTCCTGCCGCTCAACCACATGCAGTGTGCCTTGCCAGACAAGCGCTCCTCCCCAATCTCTGCCTGTGATCTCCTGTGTGCTGCTGCTTTCCCCCCACCGCTTCTGTGTCCCCCAATATTTCCTTGTGCTCTCCCCCGGCTTTGTCCCAGCCACTATGCCTCTGTGTCCACCATTACCCACCCTCCACACTTTTCTCCTAGACTGTTCCCACCTCTCTCGACAATTCCCCCCCTTTCCCACCACCAGTAAGCAAGCGCACACTGGGATTATCAGATGTGCCGGATGGTGAGCAGGGGGTGGGAGGGTTCATAGACATGTCCGACATGCATACCAACCCTTTGAATTAACTCAGCAATGTCTGTGAAGGTTCTCTTTCATCCACGTCATGGGATATCTGTAAAATATAAATCAAGGCAACTGTATTTTTTCTTGAAGAAGTTTCACTGCTCATCCGTCCAGCTTTCTCAATTAGGAATGACCAGCGAATTGCTTGTATGGGGTAACGATCGGTCCCCCCCGCCGTTGTCCCGCTGATCCCGGGCTCCGCTGTGCGAGCCCGGGATCAACATGTCGGCTGTGTCACAGGGGATCAGAGGGAGATCGTTACACGAGCTCCCTCCGATCCCCTCTCCTCTGCAAGAATGCGGAAGCGTTGTATAATACATCACTTCCGCATTCTTGTGTCACTCTCCAGCTTCAGAAGCTGATGGAGCAGATCTGTGCTTTATCAGCTTCTTTTGGGCGGTCCTAGGTGACATTAGGGGTCTTGGAGACCCCCTAAGAGGACCTGTCACATATTTTGCTATCACATAAGGGGGTTTTATTATAGCAATAAAGTTTAGTGGAAAAAAAATTAAAGTTCCCCTCCCCAAAATTTAAAGTTACACATAAAAAAGAATAAAAAAAACAAAACATTTTTTAAAGTCCCCACCCATACATACACGCATGCAAACATGCGTCGGGGGCGCATACGTGCAAAAACGACGATTGTGCCCATTACGCCGCACATGTTACATATCGCCGCGAACGTCGCAGTGAGAGCAATAATTTTAGGGCCATCAATCACTGATAACACTAAACTGATGAGCGGTAACAGCTTTTAAAGCGTCGCCTACGGCCAATTTTAGGTATGGTAGTTTTCTGCGATTTTCGCGGGCGCGCGCAATTTTAAAGCTTGACATGTTTGGTGTCTATTTACCCGATGTGACCGTGTCTTTTATATTTTACCAAAAAAACTGGGTAATAATGTTTCCTAACATAATGTAAAAAAAAAAATTTTTTTCCCCCAAAATTTTCAGTATAGTAAAAAATAAAAACTCACAGTGGTGATTAAATACCACCAAAAGAAAGCTCTATCTGTCCCCAAAAAATGGTATAAAATTCATATCAGTGCAGCGTTGCGTGACGGAATAAACGTCATTCAAAGTACCGCATCGCTGAATACTGAAAAATGGCCGGGACAGGAAGGGGGTGTAACACCGCGGTCAGCAAGCGGTTAAGAAAAACGACAAGACCAGTTGCCTTGTTTTATTTTATTTTTTACAGATGAACTCAGGAATGGTCAGTAGCGAGCACTCCAGTGTTCATTTATAATGGAAGAAATAATAAACAACGATTCGCATGTTTCCTACGTCTTCTGTGCTGAGCATTCGTGAGTTTATTACGGAGTACTACAGCAGCATATGGGATTCTCTATCTCAAAACTGAAAAAGAAGGCTTTTGTTTAGGCTGGGTTCTCACCTGAGCGGGTTTTTATGCTCGTTTTTCATCTCGTTTTTTTCGTTCAGTGAAACGCGCGTTTCACTGGCGGCATGATTTTTTTTTTGGTTTTTTTCTTTATTTTCTCTATTTAAAAAAAATAAAATATATATATTTTTTTAGTCTCACTTTTAAACTTCCCGCCGGCTCCGCCCCCCTGCGACGCGGCCGCTTGCAAGGGACGGAAGTCGGCAGCCACCGAAAACACAGCGGGGATCGCGGACAAGGTAAGACCTGTACGCTGTATTCCGGAGTGTGGCTCGGGGTTACCGCTTTGTTAACCCCCGATCCACACTCGGGAATACCAATGGCAACGCGCGGCAAAACGCCCCAAAGAAGCTCCTGTACTTCTTTGGGCGTAGGCCGTTTTTGTAGCACGTTCAGACGGCCTGTAATATGCTCAGGTGTGAACCATACCCATAGGAAACAATGGGATTTCTGTGTTTGAGTGCGTACGAACGCGTTACAAAACGCCCAGGCGTGAACCGGGCCTTAGACCCCTGATATATGACCGAAGCCTCTTGACGGTACTGTTTAAGAAAACAAATTGGCCCCTGTTCCCATCTGCGCATCGTGGTCACGCGTGCAAAATTTTACATATTCTCGCAGAACAAGAAAATGCGCATCCTCCTTGCAGCCTCACATTCATTTTTAAAAACCCCCCCGCCCCCCTCCCCCGAAAACACTTCGCTAGAGCTCGCTGAA